AATTAATTTCTTTTTGAGTAATTTATTGATTTAAGTGAAATTTGAACTGCAAGTGATTGAAATAATAGAATAAAATGAGTAGAAAATCATATTCATGTCATTGAGTCTGGATTGATGTCTCATGCAGGAAATGAAAAGAAATTTCGAACATTTTGTTCAGGAAACACGACACGAACGTGTGTTCGAATGATTTTTAAATTCTACAAAAATCAAACGAAGTCTGAAAATCACGAGATCTGCCAAGATGTCATGATATCATATGTGGAGGCTGTGGTAAAAAAATTGAGAATGTTTCGCACAATTTGTGACGTATGATGCTTACAAACGGAAGCATCTCCGCAGAAGATTCGTAGAACTTAGAAGGATCCGATAAGATTTAGAGTCCAGGTGACATGTGAATTGGGGTTTGAGTTCAAAAAATTTTGTATAGGCAATACACAACATAGATTGGTCCATGTCAAATTTTGACAATTTTTCGAATCCGATTGATATTTTTTATTTATTAATTGCAATTATAGAATTTTAGTTGATATAAATTAATTTTGAGCTATAACTGCATGAAATAATGAAATAATATTAGTAGAAAAAACAAATATGCTTTTTGGAGTGAATTTGACATGTTTTTTTCAAAATATATAGGAAAAATGTTACTAAAACCAGCTATTAAAGGTATACAAGAAATATTAGCGTAATTTCTTTCTATATAACACTCGGTAAAGTAGCTCTTTGTCGAGTGTCTTCTACAAAACACTCAGCAAAGTCTAGGTGCTGGCCCACTGCCAGGCGAGTAGACCTTTTGAAAAATAAAAAAGGGGGTTTGTCGAGTGCCAGATCGCGGGCACTCGGCATACCCCCTAACAGTTAACCCGGCGTGACCCCGCACGCCACACACACACGCACACACGCCATAGACACACGCCATGACCACCACTGACCTCCTCCGCATGGCCCCCCCGTCCCCACTTTCTCCCAGCCACGTCCCCCGCCGCGTCCCCCCCGCTCCCATCCCGTGAGAGCACCAGTGGCGCCCTCCTCCCCCCGGTGGCGCAACCCTTTGGCCAGATGACTCCTCACCCTCAGGCACCCCACCCACCTCCACGACAGCCCCCCACACACACACACACACACAACGGTGCCTTCCTGCCCCCAAGCCCTAAATAATTCTAAATTTTTTGTTGTTCTAATTAATTAGAAATGAAATTAGAAATTAGAAATTTGAAAAGCAATTAGAAATTAGAAATTTGAAATTTGAAATTTGAAATTAGAAATTAGCAATTAGAAATCAGAAATTAGAAATTAGAAATTAGAAATTAGAAATTAGCAATTAGAAATTAGAAATTAGAAATTAGAAATTAGAAATTAGAAATTAGAAATTAGAAATTTAAAAAGCAATTCTTGAATTTTTGTTGTTCTAGTTAATTAGAAACGAGATTAGAAATTAGAAAGATGATTTAGAAAATAACTTAGAAATTTGAAAAGCAATTAGAAATTAGAAATTATAAAAAGGTAGGATCAATTAGAAATTAGAAAAGAAATTAGAAAGTGATAGAAATGGACTTTTTTAGAGAAGATTGAGAGGTAGTAAGATGTCTATAGAGGTGATATGACTTTTTTTTAGAAATTAGAAAAGGATAAACCATGAATTATTTGCTTTCTTGTGAGCTATATGTGGTTGTCGGCCATCGTGTCGTTTTGTTGGTGTGGATGTGGTTGTCGGCCATCGTGCCGTTATATTTGATGCAGGTTTGGGAAACCACCCTGTGCAGGGGAGGTGCTACCAAAATTTCGACTTGACACTACTATGTTCATTTTCTTGCAGGAGAGACTCACAAGGACCATCCTTGACTCGTCACTTTGCCGGATAGCAAGGTGAGACATCATACACCTCTCTTTTCGATTGATGTTCGTATTTCTCATAACCTAGTTAGGCATCTCCTGTTCGAAAGAGATACGGTTAGAAATATGCTAATTTTTGCATATCTATAACCGTATCTGTTTCGAATTGTCCACATTTTTTGGAAAGCTCGATGTTTAGCGGGTTTAGTTTTCGTGGTCTACTCCGATCCGAGATAGAGTTTCGGCAGCACCTCCCTATTGTTCTCCGAATACACAATCTCCCTTCCAGGACGTGTATTTGGAGAATAGCGGAGAGGTGCTGCCGAAATTCTATCTTGGATCGGAGTAGAGCATGGAAACTAAACCCACTACACACTCTCAGAGGAGGCAAGAAGCATGGTCGGTATTGGATTGGCGACAGCGTAATCGACACGGCCTCTACTCCCACTCTCTCCCAGATCCGAGCAGCACGAGCCCAGCGATACGCCCACAGCCACCCACTGCACAGTTCTAGATAGAGGCTCTCCAGGTTCTTTCTCTTCCATTCATCATTCGGTGGTTCTTACGTACTTTAGCTTTGCATTGCTTTGCATTGTAGCATTGTGATGAAATATTTTAGGCCCAGGTGGAAGCAGAAAACAAGCAACAGGAGGAGATGGAGGCGAGGGTGGAGCGGTTAGAGGCCGAGCGGTAGAGGATGGAGGAAGAAAATTGGATGAGGATGGACCAGATGTTCTAATACATGCAGAATTTTGCTTCGAGCATGGGTCAATCTTTGCCACCACCACCGATGCTATTCCCTTCACGTTAGCCACCCACAACTACTCCTTTGAGTCACTTGACACATTAGATTGAATACTTTAACTTAGACAAATTCCTTAGTTAGCTCAAATGATATCAATATTGTCTCACAGATGTCTTTTCCTATGTGCAGAATCAATCGGCGGCTTCGAATACTCAACCACAAGACCCGGATCAGTCGCAATGGTTCCAAGGGCCTCCTCCTCAATGACTTGTGGATTATTTGTGCATTACTTTTTTAAACTAGAACTTGTGGATTACTTTCTTGAATAAACTATAACTTATTTGTGTGCCTGTGATGTTTAATATATGTTTGTGATGTAATATACATGCCTATGATTTTTATTGGAGAGGGGTCCTTTATACGTAACAAAACAGTAAAAACAGGGGGCTTTTGGACAGGTTGCCGAGTGTTTTGGCTTTAACACTCGGCAAAGAGCCAGGTTTCTGTTTTCCTGGCAATTTTTTGCCGAGTGTGCAATGTTTGCCGAGTGTTAAAGCCAAAACACTCGGCAAAAACGTAGATGTTTGCCGAGTGTATTGGCTTTAACACTCGGCAAAAACATAGTAAAATGGTGCGGGGTGACCCCTCTTTGCCGAGTGTCGGAGGCTTGGCACTCGGGAAAGTTGAAGATGTTTGCCGAGTGTCTTCCGTCTGACACTATGCAAACTCTCCGTTACCGTGGACGCCGTTAACCCCCTTTTCGCCGAGTGTTTTTTGACACTCGGCAAACCTTTTGTCGAGTGCCCGATATTTGACACTCGGCAAACATCTGTTTGCCGGTGGAAAATTCGCCGAGTGTTACACTCGGCAAAGTCTTTGCTGAGTGTATTTGGGGCTTCGCCGAGTGCCTGGGGCACTCGGCAAAGTAACTGTTTCCCGTAGTGACTCAAATAAATTCCATGCCAACATACAACTCCTAACTCGGGTTATGGTCGGTTTTGGAGGCTTGGATCGATACTTCCGAAGCTGTGGCTCTCTCATTCAGACTCTAAATTAAGTGTTTTATTTAGGGCAAGTACAATGCGTCCCTTGAGCCCGTCTCTACGATGCTAATTTCGCAAAAAAAACCCTCGCCAATGCTAGGAGACGGGGTTCGCGTCGTCTCGCGAGGCGACGGGGATGTCCCGTTGCCCGAGGCCAATACTCCTCCTTCAGCAGCGTTGTACGGGTCGGCGGCGTGCGGAGGTTCCACTTTTGGCGCGTGTTGAGAGAAATCTCGCGCCAAATCGTTACCCACCGGTGTCATCGCCTTCGCTCGCTCTGGTGTCGTAGCCCTCCATCCTTCAACGGCTGCGCCAATGTCAACTTCCCGTCGGCGCGATGAGATGCCGGGCTCCTCGAAGTCCACGTATCTAGGAAGAGCCTGACGTCTACAGATTCGTCTCCTCCTCGCCCAGTGGCCTCAGAGTCTGTGTTAGTTTGAATAAGTGTTTATCTCTCTGTAATCTAGTTGGAACTATGATGTTTTACACTTTCAGTAGTTTGCATTAGTGGCGTAGAATCGCGGGTGGCTGGTGTTGTGCCTAGCTCACGCCGTGACCGCCAAGTGGGTCTCCCCGTTGCAACGTCGTGCTGCGCATGCCCGTGGTCTGTGATCCGATAAAGCAGGAGATCATGGAGCACGTCGTGCGGCGGGGTGGACGGGCTTCAGGCCCATGTATCCATCTATGTAATGCAATGAGAAAGTCCTAGAAAAACTGCGACAGTTGCGCGGGCAAAAATCTCTCGTTGAACCAGTTCTCGCGTGTGTGTGTTCGTTCCAGAGCCCCCGCTCTCGCCGCGGTGATCGCGTCCAAGTGTCGCTGTCGCTGTTCGCCGTCGCCGCTGATCCAGGGACTAGCCGCCATGGCCTGGTTCCAACAGCTGGCATCAGAGCCGGTGGATGTTCTACGGTGGTTCCATTAGCCCACCGCGAGAACCCGCGAAGAAGAAGTCTGTGATTCCAAGAAAGGCGTCCGAGAAGGAGGAGATGGGCGACAAGCATGCAAGTCCTAGTGCAGCGTCTTCAGGCATCAAGGAAAGTTCTCTGGTATGGCCGATGCTTACTCGATCTAATTATGCGGAGTGGGCAATGTTGATGCAAATCAATTATGAGGCAATGGAGATCTGGGAGGTTATTGACCCAGGGACCAATGTCAAGCGCTCCCAAGATCGGTAGGCAATGGGCGCATTGATGAGATCGGTGCCCAAGGAGATGTGGGAAACTCTTGGTGTCAAGAAGACAGTTAAGGAGGCTTGGGAGGCGGTGATGATGATGAGAATTGGCGCTGATCGGGTGAAGGAGGTGAACGTGCAGAAATTGTTGAAGGAATTCGAGAATATTGAGTTCAAGGAAGGGGAGAGTGTTGAGGATTTTGGGATGAGAATCACAAATCTCGTTGCCAATATCAAGTCACTCGGTGAAACCATTGATGATACTCGAGTTGTCAAGAAATTTCTGCGTGTTGTACCACCTCGGTTCAACCAAGTCGCCGTGTCAATTGAAATGTTTTGTGAAATGAAAACACTCACAGTTGAAGATCTGGTGGGAAGACTCCGTGCTGCTGAAGACCGTTTCGAAGACAAGGTGGAGCATATCACTGACAAGGCAGGGCGGCTGCTACTTGCTGAGGATGAATGGCTTGAGAAACACAAGCATCGTTTCCAGGCAAATTCGCACAGAGAGGGGAGCAGTGGAGGCAGCGGTCAGTGGAAGGCCAAGACACCACATTGATCTGATGGTGGCAGTTCAGGCAACTCCAACACAGTCAAGCTCACATCGGAGGGGACACCAAGGAGAAAGGGCAGATGCCGCAATTGTCATATCTATGGGCACTGGGCAGAGGACTGTAAACGCCCAAAGAAGCAGAAAAAGGAGCAGAAGCGAACATTGTTGTTGGTGGTGCGGAGCATGCAACACTTCTGTTTGCCGAGGTGCAAAGTGTTGTGCATGCGCCGTCACAGATCGTTCATCTAGCAGAAGAGAAAGTAGTGCCAGTGGTATGCCCAGATGGTGTGTGGGTACTTGATGCAGGTGCAAGCAACCATATGACTGGCACCCGATCTGCACTAGCTCACCTTGATGAAAATGTTCGTGGTTCAGTGCGCTTTGTTGATGGCTCTAGCGTCGAGATCTGTGGACTCGGCGCAGTGGTGATTCAGGGTCGCCATGATCAACATAAGGTACTCACAAATGTCTACTACATTCCAAAACTGAAAAGCAATATAGTGAGTCTTGGACAGCTGGAAGAGGCAGGCTGTGACATCAGATTGTTTGATGGTCGGCTGAAAGTGTTTGATCCGGAATACAATTTGTTAGTCAGTGCACCTCGCACTGGTAACAGGCTCTACACAGTAAAACTTGGTGTGGTTCCCCCTGTTTGTCTTCTGACAAAACTGAATGATGTTGCTTGGAAGTGGCATGCCCGATTTGGGCATTTGAACTTCAGAGCACTTAGAGATTTGGGAAGGAAGAAAATGGTTGACGGAATGCCAAGGGTAGATCGTGTGGAGCAAGTCTGTGATGGATGTACTCTGGGGAAGCAACACCGTACACCATTCCCAAAGGTGTCCTCTTACAGAGCTAAGAAAGGCTTAGAATTATTTCATGCTGACTTGTGTGGACAAGTGAGACCACCAATAGTGGGTGGTAAATCTTTCTTTTTGCTAGTTGTTGATGACTTCAGTAGGTACATGTGGATTGAATTGTTGAGATCCAAAGATGAAGCATTGGTTTTTCTAAAAAAAAATCAAACAAAGAGCTGAGGTTGATCATGAAGGCAAATTGAAAGCACTGAGGACAGATCGTGGTGGTGAGTTTAACTCATTTTCCTTTACTATTTTCTGCAATGAACAAGGCATCAAGCACTACACAACCACTCCTTACTCTCCCCAACAGAATGGAGTGGTTGAGCGTCGAAACCAATCGGTTGTGGAGATGGCAAGGTGCACGCTAAAGAGTAAAGGAGTGCCACCAAAATATTGGGGAGAGGCAGTCTCAACAGCAGTTTACCTGCTGAATAGATCTCCAACAAAGAGTGTGCAAGATAAGACTCCATATGAGGCATGGCATGGCAAGAAACCACGAGTTGACCATCTCAGAACTTTTGGTTGCATTGGTCATGTGAAGAATATTGGGCCTGGTGTTGGGAAGCTGTCAGACAGATCCACGAAAATGGTTCTGTTGGGATATGAAGCTGGGACAAAAGGCTATCGGCTGGTTGATCCATCTACAGAAAAGTTGCATATCAGTCGTGATGTGGTCTTTGAGGAAGATGGGACATGGGATTGGAACAATGGTGACAGCAATCAGTTAATTGAAACTGCAACAGAAACATTCACAGTTGAGTATCAGGACACTGCAGCTGGTCCGACAATTCACGAACCAGCTGGATCAGGCGATGTCGGTGAAAATTCAGGGGGTGGCGATGCACCACCGCTCTCACCACAGTCTCCTGCAACCCCAGCGACACCACAGGCTCAACCCCAGAGTGCAGGCTCGGCCCCAGCTGCGAATGGCAGTCCACAGCAAGGAAGTGCAGAAAGTTCAGAGGGTGTGCCACTGAGGTACAGGTCGCTGACTGATCTGCTAGACTCAACAGAAGAAATACATGATTTTGAGTATAGTGGGCTATGCTTGCTTGCAGCAGATGAGCCAGTAAATGTGGAGAGTGCACTAACAGAACAATGTTGGAGAGAGGCCATGAATTCAGAACTTCAGGCCATTGAGAGCAATAACACCTGGATGTGGTCTGATTTGCCAAATGGGCATAAGGCCATAGGTTTGAAATGGGTGTTTAAAGTGAAGAAAGATGCAGCAGGTAATATAGTGAAGCACAAGGCAAGACTTGTAGCAAAAGGATATGCTCAGAAAGAGGGGGTGGATTTTGATGAGGTGTTTGCACCTGTAGCTAGACTTGAAACTGTAAGAGTCTTGTTAGCTTTGGCAGCACATGGAAATTGGGAGATACATCATATGGATGTAAAATCAGCTTTCTTGAATAGGAACCTACAGGAAGAAGTGTATGTGACACAGCCACCAGGTTTCCAAGATTCACAGAAGGCAAGTAAAGTGTTGAAGCTGAACAAGGCCATGTATGGCTTGAAGCAAGCTCCCAGAGCTTGGAATGCTAGATTGGATTCAGAATTAGTCTCGTTGGGTTTCAGCAAGTGCAAGGTGGAGCATGCTGTTTACAGAAAAGGAGATGGTGAATCTCTACTGGTTGTAGGAGTGTATGTGGATGATTTGATCATTTGTGGGCCATCTGTGAGTAAAATTGCAGAATTTAAACAACAGATGATGCAGACATTCAACATGAGTGATCTTGGATTACTCAGCTATTACTTGGGCATGGAAGTCAGACAAGATGAAAATCACATAACCATTTGTCAGAGATCTTATGCAGCGAAGATAGTTGAGCAATGCCAAATGACTGGGTGCAATCCTACAGATACACCAATGGAACAGCGAATCAAGCTCGCCACTGCAAAGAAAGGAACTGAAAGAGATGTAACCAAATACCGTAGCATCATTGGAAGCCTGAGATACTTGGTCAACACAAGACCTGATCTCTCTTTTGCAGTTGGTTTGGTCAGTAGATTCATGGAGGCCCCTAATAAAGAGCATTGGAATGCAGTTAAAAGAATTGTCAGGTATATTGCTGGAACACTTGACTATGGTGTGAAGCTCAAGAAAGGAGGAGTCAATGGGCTGTCTTTGCTTGGGTATACAGACAGTGACTGTTCAGGAGATCTTGTCCACAGGAAGAGCACCTCAGGCATTTTGTTCTTCTTGGGCATGAATCTAGTAACTTGGTCATCCCAAAAAAAGAAGGTAGTCGCCCTATCCTCCTGTGAGGCAGAATACGTTGCTGCTGCTCTTGGAGCTTGTCAAGGTGTGTGGCTCAGCAGGCTGATCGCAGATATCACCAAAGGGACTGTACAGAAGTTCAAACTGCTGGTGGATAATATGTCAGCGATTGAGTTGAGCAAGAACCCAGTCTATCATGACAGGAGCAAGCATATTGATACCCGCTATCACTATATCCGAGACTGCATTGAGAAAGGCGTGGTCGATGTGGATCACGTGGGGACTGAAGATCAGCTGGCAGATATCCTGACAAAACCATTGGGCAGGATCAGATTTGTCGAGCTGAGAGCAAGGCTGGGCGTCGTTCAAGTCCAACAAGATTAAGGGGGTGATTTGTTAGTTTGAATAAGTGTTTATCTCTCTGTAATCTAGTTGGAACTATGATGTTTTACGTTTTCAGTAGTTTGCATTAGTGGCGTAGAATCGCGGGTGGCTGGTGCTGTGCCTAGCTCACGCCATGACCGCCAAGTGGGTCTCCCCGTTGCAACGTCATGCTGCGCATGCCCGTGGTCTGTGATCCGGTAAAGCAGGAGATCATGGAGCACGTCGTGCGGCGGGGTGGACGGGCTTCAGGCCCATGTATCCATCTATGTGATGCAATGAGAAAGTCCCAGAAAAACTGCGACAGTTGCGCAGGCAAAAATCTCTCGTTGAACCAGTTCTCGCGCGTGTGTGTGTGTGTTCGTTCCAGAGCTCCCGCTCTCGCCGCGGTGATCGCGTCCAAGCGCCGCCGTCGCTGTTCGCCGTCGCCGCTGATCCAGGGACTGGCCGCCACGGCCTGGTTCCAACAGCTGGCCATGGAGCCGTCGCGGTGCTTCATGTTCGGCGCATCCGTCGGGGGCCTCATGGGTCTTTGCCTCAGCGGCCGGCTCGTGTTATTTCTTCTTCTGCTGATTCCTAAGGGCAGCTGCCATCATCAAACTGCCAGGAAAAGCCGTTCATTCAGTTCCTGTCTACAAGTTACATGAGTGACCGTATAGATGGATTGGATGATTATGTATTTATGTTGAAGGATTATCTTTGCTTCATCTAGCATGCCGCGTTCAAGACCTGGTCATGGTTCTATTCATGTTCTGAAGTTAGCTACCTGAATGCGGATGGTGGCCGTGATGGGTTATCTGAATGTTTCTATGTTCTAAATCTGTTACCTGATGAGCTATCTGCTTCCAGTTAAATATGTGACCTATACTGACTACATGCGAAGATGGTGTTCATAATTGATTCTGACTACATGCGAAGTATTAAATAACTTGCAGACGATGTCTGTGGGTTGTACGACATGTCCTTTCAGTTGTCTATACGTTGGATTCGAGGCTCTTGGAGACGACCCCCGTCTGTGGGTTGTACATGCCCTTATATATCTAAATCATCTCGACAAGAGAAATGTAATAACGAAATTCTTTTGAAATTTGATAAAGTTATTTAAACCGGCCTTAATTACCAGGCCAGTTTTCCCAAATCATCATCCGTGCTGGACAATTTTGATCGTCACAACCACTTCCTATCCGATCGACCTGCATACATGTAGCTTCAGGAATAACATCTATCACTCAGGGACGCATGGCTACCGGCGAACAGTGCTTGTAGCCGCCATGCGATGCACACGGCCACGCGTGGCTACCGGCGTACTTTTCTTCGGTACGTCATTTTTCTCTACCTAAGCTAAGCAGACTAGTACTTATTGACCATGCAGTAACTTGGCTGCCACGCGTGGTACGGTGTGGCGACGGCGACGGACTTGGGCGTACGCGCAGCATCCATGATTGAATCTAAGGTCTCATGTGACCGTCCAGTGATATTACGCTTGACACGCTTCCTAGTCACACGTACCTGTCACCATGAAAGCTATATATATATATATATAGGTTGTTTATTGGTTCCTATATATTGAGATTCATCTATATATATGCACATATAATGCTCCATCTCAAAATGTCACATTAATTGCGCTATTATATATTTATGCTTTCCAATAAAATTTATCTAACGTTCTTACTCCTTGGCCTCAACATCAACAACACATATAAGAGATCTATCGTGCAAGTGTTTCAGTTCATCACATTGTTGACTGTTGAATTGTTGATGTGTGTATGCGTAGTGTCGTGGACAACTCCTTACTTGCGTAGTAGCTTCTTGATGTGACTTTTAGCCGGCGGGACAGTCCATGTCCATCTGCCATCTTGCAAGGCGCCACACGACTTGTCTGCATGCATCTACAACGTACTTTCCTTAAGAACCATTCCGCAAGAAAGACCATATATATACCTCCCACTCTCGCCTGGCGCAGCGAGCTGCCAACCGCTTTCACAGGCCGGATGGATCCTGAGCAGCAGTCCATCCAGCTTGCCGCCGGTGCTTCGCCTGCCGGCTCGCCGGCAATGGCAACGCCGCCGCCGATGCAGCAGCCACCGCAATGTGACCATGAGCGCATGGTCGTCGGCAACATGTGCCCTTCTCTCTATCGCGCCGTCTACGAAGGGAGGACGGCCGAGGTCACGGCGCTGCTTCTGCAACAACACGCCGCTGCGATAGACTGTCAAGCCACTGGTAACTAACGAAACAGACCTAAACCTTTTTTTTTCTTTTCTTTCTGCTTCCAAATTCTTCATTTGGCTCCAAGAATTAATATTTGAATTTGAGTCCTGGCCAATAATAACTAGCTCGTTATTTTAGGTGATGTTAAGTTTAAAAGACTCAAAAAAAAAATTGGTACAAAGACAAAGGATAGAGGGGAGGATGATTGAGACCTAGAATACCTTATATTTGGTACAAATTTTGAACGTTGAATCCCTAATATTTCATAACAAAGGGAATAATACATTAATGAATGGTAGGTTGGCAAAGAAGGAAAGGTAACAAATTAAGATTTGGGTGTTCTGAAGCCACTAGTGCTCACACATCCGTTTACATTGGAGTCGCACTAGCCCGACATATTAGCTGAGAGAATTCAAACAAAATCTTACTAATTTTTAGCATCTAAATATTACCCCATCGTTGCAAATTATAAGACGCTTTTGGCTTTTTTAGATGTACTAGCAAATATGCCCGTACGTTGCAACGAGAGAAAAAAATTATAAAATATTCATGAAAACAAAAGGAACGGTACATATCTATATTTATGTTTTACCATTTATATAAAATTTAAAAGCTCTAATTTATTTTAAGATTATCATATCATCCATAATACAAGCCAATGTTAGCAAATAATATGATAATGCCCCTAAGTTTGTATCAAATTTAAAATATAATGTTGATATATTTTTATGTTACAAAGCACAGAGATATTTTCATACTACTTATGCTTTGATATAGTTAAATATTGAGTTCCATGACTTTCTTTGTGGATCCATAATCAATGGTCTGATTACAACGAGAGGCATCTCTTGATTTTTCATATGGTAACCCTTATTGGGGTTTGCACTATGTATAGTTTAGAGACAAATTTATTTAGACCGGACCGATGGCAATCTGTTTAAGATTTCAGTTCATAATTTGATTGGTCAAGCACAACTGCAAACAAACAGCAAGTAGCGGGGCTCGCCGATTTTCGTTAGTTCATCCGCTGAGGACGCATGCCTGTCTCGATCATAGGTCGATCTAGCAAGCTCCACTCCCTCTATTTGCCGCACCACGGTGCCTCTCCGCTCACCGAACGGCGCAGCCCGGACACTGCCTGGTGATGGCCTGCCTGTGGATCATCAGTACCTGTCGAGTCCACCTCGCCGCCTCTGACGATGACGCCAACACAGCGACTACATATCTACGACACATGGCTCAGTGACAAGAGCAGGCTCAGCCTTCCATTCACCGATCCAGGAAGCTAGGGGCCCCTTGTCCATGTCTTTGGAGCATTGGAGCATCGGCGACCTCACCTGCCTGAAGCCTTGGGTTGGGGTGGCAACTCGATGACCACGTGCACGTGGCCCTCGCCGTGCAGACATCCAGGACGATGACACCCCGTTCCTTGCACAGCTAAGCTAATTGATGGTGGTGGCTTCCAATGACAAGATGTGGGGAGAGACGGTTTAGGATGGGGACGGTGGGGAGGAAGTTGAGCGGTATGGGGTGGTTGTGGACGACGTCGTCCCACTCGCCGTGCTCCGAGAGGAAGATCGTCCTCGTCACCAAGTTTCGGTCCGTGATGAGAAGCTGGAAGGAGTACCCGGCGTCACCGATGACGAGCAATACAATAGATCCTCACGGTCAGACTCGTGGTCAGTGGCACGGACGGATGCGATGGTTTTGGTGTCCGAACATGCGAGAAGATCTCGATGAGGAGATCGCTCATCGTTGGGGATGTGCAGCGTCTCTAAATCAACCATCGTCGTCTCGTGACATGCGCCCACACGTCGACTCTATCACGCTAATTGCCCCTGTCCCGCGGGCCTTTTGGTCAACTATACCCGTGTGGCGACTTTGTTGACTGTTTGAACGGTCAATATTCAAATCAAATGTAGATGGCTTCTTATGGGGAAGCAACGTCAAAGAGACTTCCAAGCATGTCCCCGTCATGATGCCTTCTATCGGAACACTTGTACTTACAACAACTGATTTCACGACGACACAACTACCACAAAAATACGGGACACACCACCTTTCTTTAAAATAAAAGAAATTTATAATTTTAGGTGAGAACAAATAAATTGCATCAACCTACTGTGCAAATTTCAAATCTTTCTATATCTTAACCTTTTTATTTATTTTAAGTTTTCCAAAAAAAAATAAAAGCACCAAGGCAAAATGACTGTTATTATTAATCTTAATATTACTTTTGGAGACTCATTTTGGAGCTACCAAGATAATCATCATCTAGCTATAACGCACTAAAGGAAAGAATTGTATACTTCTCACAAAAATAAAAAGCACCTAGTTGTGCGGTAGGTGGCTTAGGAGCAAATAAGGGTGAAAGATGAGACAGGGAAGAAAGAGCTGAATACTAAGGCAGCGGCAAGTTTCTGAGATAGTTGTTCGATGAGTTGGTAGTGAGAAATACCATATTTTGAAAGCTCAGGTCAAAAACACAGGTTGAGCCGGGCTCCTACTTAGACCCCATAAAAATAGAAGGCTCTTAAATTCTCCCCATGGGATCGGACCTCATTTTTGGGAATCTAGATGAGGCCCATATTTTCCAGTTTCAGTCCTTTATCTCCCCGACCTATCTGAAACTAAGCTCGCTCGAGCACTCGCTACACTTCCTAACTCTCCTCTTGCGGGGTGCGCTGTTTCTTACGTCCCTCCCACCCACCCAACGCTCTGTGTGGCCTACCCCAGTGACTACTACTCCCACTCTCCTGTTGTCGTCCTCCCTTTCGGTTCCGCTAACGGCGTGCCTCTCCCCAGCCTACTCCCCAGCGACTCCCTTTCTATGCGTAGAGACATTGTCGGATCCATCCCTCTCGTTCTTCTCCTCCCCCCCCCACACACACCGGTGTAGCTTAGGAGGGAAGAATAGAGAATGGCCGAGCACATGTGCCCGTGTCTATTAGAATAGATTTGAGAGCTCCTATAACAAATAAAAAAAAATCATGCCCTCAAAGTAGAAGGCCCTAAAATCTAAAGTAGGGAGTCTGATTTGAAGGCTCCTCTCTGGAAAACCCTGGTCCCTAACCTATCCGATGAATTTGGCTCCAATTGAACTCGTCATTTGACACAAGAATTCAGTTATTGTACTAATTTCCTGAATACCCATTTCAGGCGTTGTTATGCACGGTCAGTGCGACATACTTGAGTTGACTGCGGAGAGGAACGCCGCTCTACACGTGGCTGCGGAGCAAGGGCACCATGAGCTGATCCGGGAGCTCTGCCTCAGGTTCAGGGACCAGGGCCTCCTCTCTCGCCAGAACTCGGCGCTGGACACGCCGATGCATTGCGCGGCGAGGGCTGGGCACGCCAGGGCAGTCG